GGATGAAGTGGGGGTGGAGCAGGTGTGGGACAACATGTCAACCACAGAGAACATGAGGGAGTGGTGGTAATAATCAGCTTTTTACTGCAACTACGACACTTGTGCATTCAGTAGGCGGAGCTTCCCTGATGGTCAATACTCTGTCTGCTATAGAAGCCCACAAATTGATTGCTTGCAAACTCAATTATGGCCCAGTATCAATAGCTTCCAGCAGGCAGAGGTTTATAGCAGCCCATTAGTGCATCATTGTGTGTGTCCATATGTGTTTGACGAGGTTCTTGTAAATCTTCACAGATGAGTTGAAGATATGTGCATGCACTTTCTTTGCTTTATGATTTGGATTGAATGGATAAGTTGGTGTTTTTTCTGAACACTGAACAGGTGAACTCGTTGTTTTGTGGTTTCCGTGCACATTTTGCTTATAAGAGGAAACAAAGTGTGGTCCCTGCAAGTCAGGCATGTATCAGTAATTGTATTAGGGAAGTAATGACTGTAGTTGTCAAATAAAATATACTGACATTGTACATTTTTTTTTGTAATTTAGGCCACAGCTTTGGCCTGAAACGTTACTCGTTTGGTCTCTCTCTGTCCTGTGTGTGTGCTGCACAGATATGCTGGTTTGGGTCCAACCATCATTGTGTGCCCGGCTACAGTCATGCATCAATGGGTGAAAGAGTTTCACACCTGGTGGCCTCCTTTCAGAGTGGCAGTTCTGCATGAAACGGGCTCATTCACCAGCAATAAGGTAAAGTATTTATTCTGGCGTGAGATGGTTTTAATAATTTAACTATAAAAGTTTTGTTTCCTCTGGGGGGCACTAGAGGATTGTAATTTCTTATCTCTATTTCCCCTTTCACTCTTTTATTCCTGGTCACGTTGATACAGTTGCGCTGCTCAAACTCTATTTAAAATGTCGAAAACATGTTTAGTCATTGATAAAATTTTGGTTTAATGAAGTTTTTGTTTTCTCTATTGCAGGAAAAACTGATTCCAGAAATAGCGTCATGTCATGGGATCCTGATTACCTCATATTCAGCTGTGAGAAATCTGCAAGATGCCTTACTACGGTACAACTGGCACTATATTATCCTAGATGAAGGCCATAAGATCAGAAATCCAAATGCTGGGGTCACTACCGCCTGCAAACAGGTACTGTTTAAATACATGTGGATGTAACTGTTCACGTTCCTTCCCATTCCTTTGGTGTTTGCATTATGTGAACAAGCAATTTTTCTGCCATTATTACCAGTTTTAGAGTTTGTTTCTAACATTCTTGCTCTCTTCCATCCAGTTTCGCACTCCTCACAGGTTCATCCTGTCAGGCTCACCTATGCAAAACAATTTGAAAGAGCTTTGGTCTCTGTTCGACTTCGTCTTTCCTGGCAAGCTGGGGACGCTGCCTGTGTTTATGGAGCAGTTTTCTGTGCCAATAACTATGGGAGGATACAGCAATGCCTCACCTGTACAGGTACATAAAAATGTGCATGTACGATTCAAAGTAGTTTCAATTCTTTTCCATAAATCTTCATTTTAAGCGAAAGTTACGACAGTCAAAAGGTGATCTGTCAGTTTTGTTATTCTTAAATAAAAATACAACGAGAAATGGTCTGAAGCAGTGCAAACAAATTCACACAAATGCATTTACACACAATTCAAAAAAGTTAAAAGAGGAGTAGTGAAATAAAAAAAAACTTTGTGTAGTGCCGGCTGGATAATGTGCATCTATGCAAAAGAACTCCAGTTCATCTCTAATGTGTGAGAGTGGAAGAGGATAAAGTAAAGAGCCAGTGAGCTCTATCGTAGGCTTTTGTCATTAGCGTTCAATCGTTAATAACCCACTGACTGTATAGATTTAATTATTTAAGCTGGCTATTGATGCTTCTTCCGCTGTCGATAATAAAAACCTTTACTAATTATTAATGTTATTAAATGGTCAGAGAGGGCAAAGCTCTGCTGCTTTATCCTGTTCTTGAAACTCTCAGAGCAGCAGAGCAGCCCCCCAGATGATGCATAAAAAAACATGAATGTACAAACAGATGTATGTGAAAACATATGTGTTTGGGGTGGGGCTTGATGAGCATGTGCATATTGGCTCCGTTACTAAAACGGGCTTTTGCACCCCCGTGTGAATCCACTAAGCAGCTTGTGCTGAGATCGCTGAATCTTCTACTGCCCTCCTGATTCTTTTCCCACTTCTATTTAGCTCCAGATTTCACCATTTTATTGTCCCCTCCAGCGTTGCCAACAGCGTCTTTGATCCCACTGCAAACCCCCCAGTGAGTTAATTTTTAAAAGGCTAACTGGCTTTTAGCACCAACTCTAGATAAAGTGTAGCAGACCATTTTCAGAGGGGCTTCACAGGGTGTAGGACAACGTGTTTGTTAAACACCCATCCCCGTTTCCAATAGAGCTGATCAGAAGAACTGATAAAAGAAGAGAGAGGTTGATCAAAAGCTCTCTGATCAATGTTTAAAGGCTCGCAGTGCTGAGGGACCAACATGATGATGAGGAACCATGACTTCTGAGGCATCTGTGCTGATGTGTAGCTTATCCTCCAAGGTTTAACTCTTGTCAATTTGTAGGTCCAGACTGCGTTCAAGTGTGCATGTGTGCTGAGGGACACAATAAATCCTTACCTGCTCAGAAGGATGAAGGCGGACGTCAAGGCCAACCTCTCCTTACCTGACAAAAATGAACAGGTACTCCTCCTGGTCTGACATGCTTGACCCTGCATTTTAAAGTATTGATCAACCTCTAACACACCTCCTCTCAGCTGTGCAGGTGTTTATCTGATTTGATGTAACTCTTTGTGCTGCATCTACAGAGTATTTGATGAATGTGTGTTGCTCCTGTCAGGTGAATCCAGCTAATAAAGTCCTAGTAAAGTAAAAAGAGTTGGTATTCATTAAAGTGGCTGGTCTCTGGTCTGTCCTTCCGCCTGACGCTGCTTGACTGCTCTGTCCACTTCAGCTCATTAAATCAGTCCCTGAAGACAGTGTTTGCTTCCAAAATACAAATAGTTTCTCTTTAATTTCTCTGCTCGCTCTCTTCACTTCATCAAGGGGCTTTAAAGTGGATGCTCACTGTCCATTTCAAACCTTACACTGTGTGTTTATGTGTGTGCGTGTGTGTAGGTGCTGTTTTGCAGATTAACAGAGGAACAGCGGCAGGTGTATCAAAACTTCTTAGATTCCAAAGAGGTCTACCAAATACTAAATGGAGACATGCAGGTAAGTCTTATTTTAAAGTCGCAAACCATAAAGTAAATTTTAAACGTTGTTGTTCTCGATGGTATGTTTGGATCTGAAGTCATTAGCTACTCAAAAAATAAAAAAGCAGAATATACTTTTTAACCCCTTTGTCCGAACATATTTTCTTCATGGAGAGGTTCAAGTTCACAGTTTAGATTTGAAGGAATCTAAATATTTATTAGATTTCTAATAAATATTTAGATTTTCTTTCTGTCAATATTTCCTTCCAACCATATTTTTATACCACAATATTGGATTTTTGGCCAATATCTGATAAAACTTATTTGGCCTATAACCAGTACCGATATTTTTCCCCGTAGACCTACTTACAAAGACTACATAGCTTTCTCTAATGTGGAATTAAAACACTACATTATTCTGCATGGTCTTTGTCAGTTTGGCCTGCTACCAAATGCAGATGCCAAAAAGGCGGTTAAAAATGATGCAATACTTCAACTTGGATTATGATTAATGTCAAATATAAAAATAAACGTAGTCTTTTATATCAGTGAGTTGTTTTGATGGAATGGCCAGTGTCCGATATTTAACTTTATCGCTAATATCGGCCGATACGATACCATGCCGATAATATCGTGCATCCCTAACAATGTGTTTTCTGTTCTTCTTACTTTGCTAAAGGGGGTGAGTTGTATTTACTGTTGGGAACTTCCAGGCCAAATTATGAACATCCTTCTAAGGATTTTTTTTTTTTTATTGCATATTAAAAGGATGATCAGGTCAAAAATGTTGGTCTAGAGAACTTTCTAGAACAATACTTGGATTATTAATTATTTAGCCACTCAGCTGATGTTTCACTTTATATCTCCAGCTCACATACATTTGTGTACCGGTAGTTTTTTTTCTATAAACCTTTAAGCTTTTTAAGATTATCATCTTAAATGCAAATTCAAAAACTCTCATCTTTTGTCTGTGTAAGTTTTGTAAAAAAAAAAAACTACAGCTTAACCTGAGCATGTTTTAGCTCACTTTGAAAAGGTTGTGGACTTCTTCTCACATTAGCCAGACCAATGAGAGAGAGAGAGAAACGACCATTTATCACCACTGACCAAATGGACGTGGTTGAAGAGCCACGGGTGACCAGATTGTGCATAGATGTATTCAGTGGTCACTCTCAGTCCATTAACCACCATTACTAATGCAGTGACCGCTGGGCCCTCATCAAGAAACACAGCCTTTATTGTCCGTAAATAAATTATGTAATTCATTCCTGTAGACTAAAGTAAATGTGCTTATTTGTTTAAAGATGCAACGCTGTAAAATGCAGTTAAATTGGCTATTGTTTTTACTACTTGTGTAGAGTGAAGACTATGAATATTTTCCTCTTTTTTTTTTCTGCTCTTTAGGTATTTTCAGGTTTGATCGCGCTGCGCAAGATCTGTAACCACCCGGACCTTTTCTCAGGCGGGCCCCGGATGCTGAGGGGAATCCCGGAGGACCAGCTAACGGACGAGGAACAGTTTGGCTTTTGGAAACGCTCAGGCAAGCTGATAGTGGTGGAGTCGCTTCTCCGCCTCTGGTTCAAGCAGGGACAGAGGGTCCTGCTCTTCACACAGTCTAGACAGGTGAGGAAGATGGCATTCAGTATAAATGATGGTTTATTTTAGGAACGTTCTGCTTTACTACAGTTACAGTACGTTCCTCAAGAAACATACATTTCTACCTTGAATTATGTATGTGAGATTGTGATTTCATTACACCAGGTTGTGATGTTACTCCTTTGTATTTCCTGCTGGATACTTACAACAGTGTTAAGATGGGAAAGACAGAGGAAGTGTATATGTGACAGAGGCCCCAGCTGTTGCAGTCAATACCAATGAGATTATACCTCAGAGGGAACCTGAGACCCTCCCTGTCGGCATCTCTGTCCATGTAATATTAATCTGCTCTAATCCTTTTAGAGCTAATCCAAACCTCAACCCCTCTCTCCTCATCTTTGCCTGCCCCTCCTGTCTTTTTTTTTTTTTTACTCACCGTCTTTCTCTTGTCTTCATCTTATATCTCATTTCCAGATGCTGGACATCTTGGAAGTGTTTGTACGGGAACAGAACTACTCGTACCTGAAAATGGATGGGACGACCACAATAGGTTCCCGACAGCCGCTCATCGCTCGCTACAACGAGGTGAGGATTAGCCTTCTCGAATGGCTCTTGAGTGTTTCCCATGAAAATCCTGTCCTCAGGGAGAAAATGCTTCTGTTGAACCCTGATCTGCCCGAAGTGGAGAAACTTAATTGATGACAGTCTGTTGGTCAAAAGAAATGCTGTGATTGGTGTTTGTGATTGGACATTGTGCATTAGGATCACAGATGTATGTTTTCAAAAGTATTTTGGAAACTAAAGGTGTTATATTTAATGTAGAGTTGTTTACTGTTGTTTTACTCTTTATCTAGGGTCAAATCCAAACTAATTGTCACAAGTTGTACATGATAAAATGACATTAAATAATCACAATCTTTTGATCCTGGTCTGTCTTTGTTACAGGACAAATCCATTTTTATTTTCTTGCTGACCACTAAAGTTGGTGGACTGGGAGTCAATCTGACTGGAGCCAACAGAGTCATCATTTATGACCCAGACTGGAACCCCAGCACTGACACGCAGGTTAGAAACTCATATAATATAATTCAAATTAAAGATTTATCGGGAGCATTAAATCTTATGTAAATCAAAAAGTCATCTGTATCTCTATAAATAAATAGAAATCTGTTAGTTTGGAGCAAACATTTCTTCTGTCATCTTACAAAACTTAGAAAAAAAATACTACTACATTAGTTCCTCGTTCATCGCGTGGGTTCCGTACCCTGAAGACCTGCGATGAGTGAAAAACCTTGAAGTAGGAATAATAGTACAAGTAGTAAGTAGTTGTTTATTTTAATATATATATATATATATATATATATATATATATATA